GGTGAGCCATTGCCCATTGTAGTCTCAGTGTCTTGTACTTAGCTGACAGGAGTCGATCCTCGTGTGGTGTACTGAAGTAGCCCATCCACTTTAATGTTCGACGTGCTGTGTTTACAGAGATGCTCTTCTGAATACCGCTGTTGTAACACGTGGTTGTGTTATTATCCTTCCTGTCAGCTTAAACAAGTCTGACCATTCTCCTCTCACCTCTCACTTTATGAAGTCGTTTTCGCCCTTGGAACTACCACTTACTGGATGTTTTGTATTTTTCACACCATTCTCTATAAACTCTAGAGACTGTTGTGCGTGACAATCCCAGGAGAGCAGCAGTTTGAGATACTCAGACCACCTCACCTGTCTGGTACCAACAATTATTTCACGTTCAGAGTCACATTTCTTCACCATTCTGATGTTTGATCTGAACAACAATTCAACCTCTTGTTCTTGTTTGCATGTTTTTAGACATTGAGTTGCTGCCACGTCATTGGCTTATTAGACATTTGCTTTTACGAACAGGTTTACCTAATATAGTGGAGACTAGCGAGGGATCGAACCTGCGTTATTTTAACCACCATCTTTCTCGGAAATTTCTGCCAATATCCATGATGCCTTTGTCCACTGCACTACCATGCTTCAGGAGTGGCAAACTCAGTGGACTAACTGGGTCCCAGATGTTTGAAGCATGGTGGTGCAATGGACTACAGCATTGTGGATTTTCGTGGGCTTTCCGTGAGGGAGGCTGGTTGTAATCAGCACATCAGGAGCTTGGAATGTTGCAGAAAATCGCAGGAGGAGGTCCCAGCAGATATGGTCACAGGGAGCGCCTGTGCTGGAGTGAGCCTCAGTCCAGCAAAGGCGTTCCCTGTGATAATATCTACTTGAACCTCCTCTTTTCTGCAACATTAAAACCTCCTCCTGATGTGTTGATTGCAGCACAAAATGTCTTAGAGCTATCACTGAACTGCCCCCGTGGCTGTTTTGCAACTTGTATCGCTTGTTTGCGAAATTTCCATATATATATATATATATATATAGATATATATATATATATATATATATATATATATATATATATATATTATATATATATTATATATATAAATATAAATATTAATTATATATATAATATATAATATATATATATATATATATAAAATTATATTAATATATATATATATATATATATATAATATAATGTTGCAGTTTAAAAACTGTATGTAAAGCACACCTTCTGGCAAGACAGTGATGGAGTGAATGATGGTAAAGGTTTTTCTTTTTCGGGCCACCCTGCCTTGGTGGAAATCGGCCAGTGTGATAATAATATATATATATATATATATATTATATATATATATATATATATATTATATATATATATATAATATATATATATATATATGCAGACAAGAAACCGGGGAGGGGATCAGTCTAAGGTAACCGTGGCCGGTGACACCTACGCTACTCTGAGACCTCTCTCCCTGCTTTGGTTGCTCCCTTGCAACATTGCACAGCTCCTGGTGATGCACTGAGAAGTGTGAAAGTACTTGAGCTAAAATTTCACTCCCCCTGTGGCTTGTCCTGCATAGTTAAGATCGCCCATCTGCGATTGTTTGCATATATAAATATATATATATATATATATATATATATATATATATATATATATATATGCAAGGAATTTGCAAGAGCAGGCGAAAATATGCACAAAGGAGACTCGAACCTACTAGGTAGGTTCGAGTCTCCTCCAGCCAGAGATCAGTTATATATATATATATATATATATATATATTTTATATAATATATATATATATATATTATATATATATACTGTTTTGTTTGCTTGTTGTGTAACATAAGATATTTGCATGTTAATGTGTATATTCCCTCCTATTGCTTGGTTAGAAATCTATCTATCTTGCCCATACATGCGTTACGATCTTCGTAACCTTTAACCTTCCAACCCTTAACCTACCTACCTACCTTTACACTCTTAAGACCATAAGAAAGAAGCACTGCAGCAGGCCTACTGGCCTAAACTAGACAGTCCGAGTTACTTGCCTTGTTAGGCAAGTTCACCTCACACCCACAATCACGAAATTATGTACTTATCTAATCTATTTTTAAAACTACTCGAGGATTTATCTTCAATCACGCTACTTGGCAATTTGTTCCACTCATTCACAACTTTATTACCAATGCAACGCTTTTCCATATCCTTAGTAAATCTAAATATTTCTAGGTTAGATATTTTTAACACGTTACTTACATCCACTTTATTCATTCTTGTTTTCTCTTTATACACCCCAGCCATATCCCCTCCCTAAATCTAGGCCTTTCTAAACCATACCCCCGGCCGGGATTGAACCCGCGGTCATAGAGTCTCAAAACTCCAGCCCGTCGCGCTAGCCACTAGACCAGCTAGCCACAATAAGATTCATCCAACTAGGTATATTTCTACACCATAGGAAAGTTAGCACAGGCACCTCTGTGACCACAAATGCAAGTTTTTACAGACGAATCTCCAGCTAGCGTGGCCGTGACGAACTCTAGCTCAAGTCCCTCACTGCCGTCAACATGACTTAAGAAATCGTAATGACACGATTGCAAATAAACCATCCCCGCCGGGATTGAAACCGCGTCATAGTCTCAAAACTCCAGCCCGTCGCGCTAGCCACTAGACCAGCTAGCCACAATAAGATTCATCCAACTAGGTATATTTCTACACCATAGGAAAGTTAGCACAGGCACCTCTGTGACCACAAATGCAAGTTTTTACAGACGAATCTCCAGCTAGCGTGGCCGTGACGAACTCTAGCTCAAGTCCCTTCACTGCCGTCAACATGACTTAAGAAATCGTAATGACACGATTGCAAATAAACCATACCCCCGGCCGGGATTGAACCCGCGGTCATAGAGTCTCAAAACTCCAGCCCGTCGCGCTAGCCACTAGACCAGCTAGCCACAATAAGATTCATCCCGCCGGGGGTATGGTTTATTTGCAATCGTGTCATTACGATTTCTTAAGTCATGTTGACGGCAGTGAAGGGACTTGAGCTAGAGTTCGTCACGGCCACGCTAGCTGGAGATTCGTCTGTAAAAACTTGCATTTGTGGTCACAGAGGTGCCTGTGCTAACTTTCCTATGGTGTAGAAATATACCTAGTTGGATGAATCTTATTGTGGCTAGCTGGTCTAGTGGCTAGCGCGACGGGCTGGAGTTTTGAGACTCTATGACCGCGGGTTCAATCCCGGCCGGGGGTATGGTTTATTTGCAATCGTGTCATTACGATTTCTTAAGTCATGTTGACGGCAGTGAAGGGACTTGAGCTAGAGTTCGTCACGGCCACGCTAGCTGGAGATTCGTCTGTAAAAACTTGCATTTGTGGTCACAGAGGTGCCTGTGCTAACTTTCCTATGGTGTAGAAATATACCTAGTTGGATGAATCTTATTGTGGCTAGCTGGTCTAGTGGCTAGCGCGACGGGCTGGAGTTTTGAGACTCTATGACCGCGGGTTCAACCCCGGCCGGGGGTATGGTTTATTTGCAATCGTGTCATTACGATTTCTTAAGTCATGTTGACGGCAGTGAAGGGACTTGAGCTAGAGTTCGTCACGGCCACGCTAGCTGGAGATTCGTCTGTAAAAACTTGCATTTGTGGTCACAGAGGTGCCTGTGCTAACTTTCCTATGGTGTAGAAATATACCTAGTTGGATGAATCTTATTGTGGCTAGCTGGTCTAGTGGCTAGCGCGACGGGCTGGAGTTTTGAGACTCTATGACCGCGGGTTCAATCCCGGCCGGGGGTATGGTTTATTTGCAATCGTGTCATTACGATTTCTTAAGTCAAGTTAGGCCTTTCTAGAGAGTGCAGATTCTGGGTCCTCCATCTGTCCTCGTAGGAATGATTTCTGATACATGGGATCAACTTTGTCATTCTTCTTTGTACGTTTTCCAGCGTATTTAAATTCATTCTGTAACACTGTGACCAGAATTGTGCTAATCTAAATGAGGCCTAACTAATGATATATAGAGTTGAAGAATAACCTGAGGAGTCCTGGTATTTATACTTCTTAACATGAATCCATGACTTCTATTCGCTTTATTGCTGCCACTTACTGGGGTCTTGGTTTTAGATCTGCTGACCAAACTCCTAAATTTTTTTTCGCATTCAAGGTAAGATCTACATTTAGTTTATAAGTGTCATAGTAATTTTCTTTTCTAAGTCTTAGAACTTTGCATTTGTCTACATCAAACTGCAACTGCTACTTCTCCAACCACTGCATCAGACTATTTAGATCTTCCTGTAGTGCTCTAGTGTCCTCGTAAGAATTAATGGGCATATTTTGGTGTCATTGGCAAGCTTTCTTAGGTCGCTGCTAATTGCATCATCTATGCTGTTTATGTATATTGTGAACAGCAAAGGGCCCAACACTGAACCCTTTGGAACACCGCTTGTGACACGTCACGACTCTGATTTTTCCCCATTTATGCAAATTCTCAGTTGGCCATCTTTCAGCCACGCCTCTATCCATGAAATACAATTCAGTGTGCCTCTGCTTCCTTTAACAATCTCCGATGTGGAATTCTATCAGAAACCGTAATGAAGTCCATATACACAATATCCTATTCAATACCATGATCTACCTCCTCAAATATCTTAGAGAAACTGTTAGTAAATTCGTACGGTAGGAATGCCCCTTTGTAAAACCTTGCTGAGATTCCGTGATCAGTTTGTTTCTTTCAAGGTGGCTTCGAATAGCATCAGCAATTATTGATTATATCAACTTTCCCACATTGGAGGTTAGGCTAATTGGTCTCATGCTTCGTAGACAGGTATCACATCTATCATTTTCCACCTAGCCAGTGGCTTGCTAAGTTACTCCTAACATTCCTTTATAACTCTTGCAAACATTTCATCAGGGGCTAGGGATCTGTTAGATTTTTAACTATCTACTTGTTTTAAACCTACTTACCATTCAGCCTGACTACCTGTCTTATCCAGCGGCACGTAAGATCGTACGAGGGAGGCAGAATCCTAGGCCTACAATTGCAAGTCAGCCGTGACCTGTTCCAACAAGGAGTTATCTCTTTGACCTGCACCAGCACCCTGGGCAGCCTACACACTAGGTCAACGCAGGTCACTCTTCCCAACCCTGACTATCTTCATGCTGAAGAGTATTATTACAATGCAGGTATGTTCAGTACATGTGCGGGTGAAGAATTAGACACATGTGCAACATCTGGGTATCTTTATTAGAGGACGTTTAGCCAACCAGTGGCTTTATCAATAAAAGTACATAATGTGAAGAATGTGGAATTGTATACAAAAGATGAGGTAATTAGTCCCTCAGCCTTGGAATTGATAAAAAAAACCCCATTCTTCATATATAAGTCTACATTCTTCACATTATGTACTTATACTGTGTGTGTGTGTGTGTGTGTGTGTGTGTGTGTGTGTGTGATTGAGTGCATATCATAATGCAAAACAGTAGCATCATAGCACACTAACAGATACCAATTATGATACACTTTGGTAAACTCATTTATAAATAGGGGGGATATCTATATATTTCGACCTCATGTTAAGGCTCTCTACCTCGGTAGAGAGCTTAAAGTATAAACATATTTTAAAGCTCTAGTTTCCTATTTCAAAGAGGGTTTTCACGAGCAGTACCTTACACGGTTGTGTAAGGTACTACCATGTACAAGATGTTAACATGCTAATAATATAGCATAATATGAATATTTCCTTTGACTTTAACAGCTCACAAGCCGTCTAGTAATATAATATTATATTTCAGGTGTGCAAAAAGTTTGCAGGTGGACAAATGAGTCGCTATTGTTGGTGTTGATGCTGTTGTTTCCTGTACATCTTGGCTACTGATCCCTGCACATCCTGGCTACAGACTGCTCTACATCTTCGCTACTGATCCCTGCACATCCTGGCTACAGACTGCTCTACATCTTGGCTACTGATCCCTGCACATCCTGGCTACAGACTGCTCTACATCTTCGCTACTGATCCCTGCACATCCTGGCTACAGACTGCTCTACATCTTCGCTACTGATTGTCATAAATCATCGCTGCTGACGCTGATTTCTAAATCCGCCTCCACTGCTGATATTATTCCTGACGTTTCTTATCATCCACGTAGTTTTGTGCACATTTTAGATACTGATCGTGGAAAAATATTTACTAATAGTCCGTAGACCTTATTCACCTTCACTGCTGACTCTCCTTGACATTTTCACTGATGACTCTCCTTGACATTTTCACTGCTAACTCTCCTTAACATCTTCACTGTTGATTCCTTGACATCACTACTGATTCCTCAACATCTTCACTGCTGATTTTCATAAAAATTCATTACTGATTCGTACATACCTAAGCTACTGACCGTGAATATTTGTCCTAATTATCTCTAGACGTTGTATTAGAGATGCGTACATTACTTAACACTGATTTTTTTTTCACTGTCTCACTAAACTGACACCCATCGTTGACCTTAAAATATTCTTATCTATCTTTGAAGAGTCTAATCACACAGTTACTTTCAGTTAATTTATTTTACTTAACTTTCATAAATTTAACTCTTTATTTACTCTGTTGAAATTATTTGCTAGATCTATATCTGCTTTAGTAATAATTTTCACTTATATTTTTCATTTCTATATTACACTGACCATAAATGTGATTCAGTGATATATTTCGCTTATTCAGTTCGTTTTAATAATCTTCAGTGAACACACACATTAGCAATGTATTTGTCTGTTAAAATCGTGTATTGCTATTTAAATTGGGGTTGAATTAATAGATAAGGGAACAAAAGCAGATGCAAGTGTAAATACAATAATAAGACTTGAACACAATACTTTTAAAGTTGGTGGCTGAGGCACTCTGGTGTCAGACCGGGCTGCTGGGTTAGACACACACAAAACGAGCTCCACGCTGACATATTGGTGTCCTGGCCATGTGATGGGTCCCGTGAAATGAACGGGTTGATGAAGAGGAGGCTGCTGCTATTTCCAGTTTTCTCATAGATCAGAATTTTGCCTCACAGCATCTGTATAAACCGCATGCGCAGATTTGTCCTTGGGAATTTGCAGGTCCAATGGGCCGTACAGATGAGCAAGAGATTTTGCAGGATTTCACAGGACCTGGATGTTCAGCCTTTTACCAGGAATCGTCATTTTAAGGCGAGTCTCTGTTTGAGGGTTAAGGAGACACTTCATCCTGCTTCTGTGTTAGACATGTAGGATGCGGCTGACTATGGAGAAACCATACCAAGGGCGGGACTTGAACTCGCGGTCAGAGTCTCAAAACCCGCCCGTGCTATGGTTTACAATCGTGTCATTACGATTTCGTGAATCATGGCGACTATGGAGAACATTTTAACTGCTTATAGCTTCGGCATTTTTGTTTATGTAATGGTTATTATAATTACCAGTGTGCCTGAAGGGATTGTGAAGTAATTTTTACTAGTCTTTTAACATCGACAATTTTTTTTTTAGCTGATGCAGGTTACATTAACTTGGTGTTAAAGTAAAGTGGATCCTTGATTTTCGTGATTAATCCGTTCCAGACAGTCTGCCGAAATTCAAAATTCACGATTTTCAAAACCATTTTCCCCATAAGAAATAATGTAAATCAAATTAATCCGTTCCAGACACCCAAAAGTATTAAAAAAAATGTTTTTTAACATTAAATGTACATTTATCTACACAGAAAATGATGAGACATGAAAAATAAAACAATAATAACTTGACACTTACCTTTATTGAAGAGTTGTTGATGTGTAGAAGACGGGAGGAGGGAAGAGGATGGAAGAGTTACTATTGTTAGGAAGGGAAATCCTCTTCCATAAAGACTTCAGGTACCAAGTCCTTTTCCGGGCTTACTTCCCTTCTTTGTTTTTTAATGCCACTAGGACCAGCTTGAGAGTCACTGGACCTCTGTCGCTCAAAAAATTGTTCCAGCAAGGTCTGTTTCTGGCGTTTCTTTAAAATTTGCCTAAAATGTGACAAGACAACTGTCATTGAACATGTCGCATACACGGCCTGCAGCAGCTTTGTCAGGGTGATGTTCCTCCACAAATCTTTCAATCCTAGTCCACATTGCATACATCTCTTTAATGTTTGAAGAAAGCAACTTCGTCCCTCTCTCTTCCTCCGCCTCTGAAGCCATTTCCTGAGCTGTGGTCTGTTGCTGTTGCAAATTAAGGATTAGAAGCTCTTCAGTGGTTAGCTCTTCAATTTGGTCCACCAACTCTTCCACATCCTCGCCACTAACCTCCAACCCCACGCCCTTCCCCAATGCCACAATAGATTCCACAACTGGGATAGGGTTGTCAGGGTCAGCCCCAAACCATTCAAAATCTTTGTCCAGGACAGATTCTGGCCACAATTTTCTCCAAGCAGAGTTCACCTTCCTGGAAGTCACTCCCTGCCAAGCCCTACCTATAAGGTTTATGCAGTGGATATTGAAGTGATCTTTCCAGAACTCTGAGTCAATTCCGAGTCCGAGGTTTTGTTAAAGCACATTTGAAACATTGCTTTGGTGTCGAGTTTTTCGAAATTTGAAATGATCTGCCGGTGGCCGATGGATTGGAGGAGAGGAGTGGTATTAGGGAGCAAGAACTTGGCTGTGATGAAGTTAAATTCTCTTTCACCATTTGCTCTTCCAAGTCTGGAGGATGAGAAGCATCAATGTCCATTACCAGGAGGCGTTTCATACGACCGCCGATTTCCAAGCCAAATCACGAAAATCAAGCCAATATTGACAAAAGTCGCCGATTTCCAAAATTAACGATATTCAAGGGTCCACTATATTTCTTTTGTTTTTTGGTTTGAGCATTACTCTTCATTTTTGCTACTCAGTTTTATCCTAGATGTTCTTATGTGTTTGCATTCGTTTTCAATGACATAAGCGCCGAGTGATCTTCCAGATCAATGTACTCTGGATATCTCAAAACCAATTTCCTTCTATAGTAACTGTTCACAGTTAAGTCACGTGCATGTTGATCTCCAGGCTTCTTTATGCATTCATTCCACCCTATCACCAATATCAGACTCTCAGAATAGAAGATTTTCTAGCAATTCCTTAGCCCTAAAATGTAGATGCGCAGGTCTATTGAACTTCTCTATTGGTTGCCGACAGTGTGGATATTTAAGCGAGTGAGAAACGCTTGTTAGTCTGGGTGGGTCTTGTGTGTGTTCGGGGGGTATTAAATGCATTATCCAACCAATAGCCTTTATTTTTCCTTGACACGACGTAAAGTCTGCCCTTCAAAGGTATGTTTCTGGTGATGAGCTATTGATCCAAGGGCATTAAAACTAGTAATGTGAAGTATATGCATTAATACCGTGGAGAGAATTTCTACTGGATGATATTGGATGATATTGCACGATATTCCATAAGCCCAGATCGTAATACTGATGTTCCTGATGCTGGTAAAAAGCTTTAGATCCAAGAAATTGAAGATGGCCTCCCCTTCCTTGATCAACTTCGAATTCCTGAAAAATACGAAGGAACAATACCGTGACCGGAGCAGTACATGTATAACCCGGTCCGACTTGACCCATTGGCTAGTTAATGATCCAAGTCGAACCAAAACATCGTCATATGTTTCTATGTGAGAAACGTCGTCATAAATTCATTCTTATATATGCGGATTGTGTATTGTTCCAGTCAAGGTATTGTCATCGTGCGGGTTATTTGTGTATCAGATTTACCTCATTTTCCTCCATTACAGTGTACAGTATGACCCGTACACGTGTAACGCGTCCTCCTATATTCCTAAATAATAATTTATGTTGATATTGATCGTTGTGATGAACTTTGAGTTTGGATTTTTGGGAAAGAACCGAGAAGCCGACAACATGTGTTGGATTTCCTGCTGAAATCCACCAGACTGACTCATTTTGGTTAGTGAGAGCTCTTGTTGCAGTGCTTATTGAAACGAACCATACCACAGGTGGGGATAGAACCCGCGATCATAGTCATAAAACTCCAGACCGACGCGTTAGCCACTGGGCCAGGGCTTAACGCGTCGGTCTGGAGTTTTATGACCCTGATCGCGGGTTCTATCCCTGCCCGTGGTATGGTTTGTTTGCAATCGTGCCAATACGATTTCGTGAGTCTTATTGAAATGCCCTCGTATTCCTCTAGCTTGTCTAAATCTCACTAATTTCTATCCATTTAGAGATATTTTCACTATCACAATACGAAATGATCTGTAATGGGGTCACCCTTGCTATGCTCCTCCGCGAGTCCAAACTGGCTACTGGTGATAAAACATTTCTGATAATCCCAGAAGCGTCGCCAATATGAAGAATCAATCACATTTACAACATCTAGTTGCCTTTACTTAAAGACTATGTGGCTTTTCCAGTTCCAGTGGCTTTTCCAGTTCAATGAGTAGATGATATACGAAGCCAGTAAAAAGCTGACGTAATCAGTCCCTCAGTCTGTAAGCCGGTGTTCAGTACCTTGGTGTTGAATCAAGACTAAGGTACCGAATACCAGTCTGAGGGACTGATTACCTCATCCTTCACTGTCTTCATGAAGTATATCATCCCTGTATTGAACTGAAAATGTCCCTGGTTGGTCTTCACATAAAAATACCCAGGTGTTGCACATGTCTGTTTCCTGATAATGGTGACACTGTTGAAGACACAGGCTGCGATGCGAGTTGATTATTGTGAAGAGCTTATCAAAGTCGTGACATGAGTTCCACACACAACAAAAACCACAACTCCGCTCTGTACAGAGCGAAACATAACTAGATTAATCTTTACACGCAAATTATAATTTGATAAGGCTCTACACTGAGCGAACTATGACAGGATAAAGCTCTACACTGAGCGAACTATGACAGGATAAAGCTCTACACTGAGCGAACTATGACAGAATAAAGCTCTACACTGAGCGAACTATGACAGGATAAAGCTCTACACTGAGCAAACTATGACAGGATAAAGCTCTACACTGAGCGAACTATGACAGGATAAAGCTTTACACTAAGCGAGAAAATGCATGATAAATATCTACTTGGTGAAACATGACGTTATGAAGCTGTACATAAGCGAAAGTTATCCCAATTAAAGCTTATTTTGCAGTGTGTGTGTGTGTGTGCGTGCGTGTTGTGTGTGGCGCGTGTGTGTGTGTGTGTGTGTGTGTGTGTGTGCGTGTGTCGTGTGTGTGTGTGCGTGTGTGTGTGTGTGTGTGTGTGTGTGTGTGTGTGTGTGGTGTGTTGTCTGTCTTCTCTTGTCCCCTCCAGACGTCCCACCTCCCTCCCTCCCCCCCAACCCCCCATCCCCTTCCCCAATACCTCCTCTGTCACTACACTGCTTCCAGTCATTCCTCAGTCAGCATTTACTTAATAATAATAATAATAATAATAATAATACCTTTATTTACTACAAGTACATGTACAAGGTATACAGTCCTAGCTGACATCAATGACATGCTACTATATACAAATCCGCTTATGCAAAGCATTTAGGACAAATTAGGTCAGTTTTGTCCCAGGCTGCGACCCACACCAGTCGACTAACACCCAGGTACCATTTTACTGATGGGTGAATATGGACAGCAGGTGTCTTATGGAAACACGTCCCTCATGTTTTCCAGCCGTACCGGAGAAGATTCGAACTCCGGACCTCAGTGTGTGAGCCGAGTGCGCTGGCGATCGAACTATGTTTCAGGTTTTTCAGCTCCTACGCCCTTCAAGGGGAACGGGTCGTCCTTGATGCTGGTGAATGGTCCTTGATCGTGAGAAATAAAACTACTTTCTTACTTATCTCATTTTCCAATATAATCTTCATTCAGCGCTTCCATATCAACATAATAATCTTGTATTAATCTGACGTGTAATTATTTGCTTGTAAATAACTGTGTGAGTAATTAACGTACATCATTAAATTAGCTTGTCAATGTGTACATTAGTAAATATATGTACGAGTCTGTGTCGATCTTATATTTTTATTATCCTAATAAAATAAAAATAAATATTTTTTTTTTAAATGAAATAGTGACTGATATGCCAACAGGAATTCCATTAATAATAATTGAACGATTCCTTAATGACTGCAGGAAATTTATCGACATGAAAGTAATTGTAACAAAGTTGGTAGAATTACCGACAATATGTAAAGTAAAAGGACACAAGTGCAACTAATGTGACATTTATTGTGGCAACGTTTCGCTCTCCAGGAGCTTTATCAAGCCATTACAAACAATACATGGACACAGAGGGTATATAAAGGCTCAGAGTGAGGTGAATACTAGTGAGGTACCATTTCGATGTTCACTAGTGGTAGTAGTAGTAGTAGTAGTAGTAGTAGTAGTAGTAGTAGTAGTAGTTAGTAGTAGTAGTAGTGTGGTGGTAGTGACAAAAGTAATACAATATGGTAGAACAATTAATTCGTACATGAGTAAAAGGATATAAAAGCTATTACTTGGGTAACATAAAAATAGGTTGGACAAATATAAACTGGAATGAGGCAGCTTGTTTCAGTGTTCACTCTCTGTGCTTTGTGTAGTATAACAGTAAACCCTGCCATCACATAGTCTCTCCTGTTATACTACACAAAGCACAGAGAGTGAACACTGAAACAACCTGCCTCATTCCAGTTTATATTTGTCCAACCTATTTTTATGTTACCCAAGTAATAGCTTTTATATCCTTTTACTCATGTACGAATTAATTGTTCTACCATATTGTATTACTTTTGTCACTACCACCACCACTACTACTACTACTACTACTACTACTACTACTACTACTACTACTACTACTACTACTACTACTACTACTACTACTACTACTACCACTAGTGAACATCGAAATGGTACCTCACTAGTATTCACCTCACTCTGAGCCTTTGTATACCCTGTGTGTCCATGTATTGTTTGTAATGGCTTGATAAAGCTCCTGGAGAGCGAAACGTTGCCACAATAAAAGTCACATTAGTTGCACTTGTGTCCTTTTACTTTACATGAAAGTAATTATTGTAACTGCAAATGATAGCACTAAAATACTTACCCTAGAAGAATTTTTTCTTAGACCAACAGTAACTACAACAATAACAGAATAATGATGATAATTATCATCATGATTATAATCATCATTCCTCTCCAGAAACAAATTTTGCTATAGAGAAATATGACAATTTTTTTTAGTGGAAAAAAAATGCACGACAGTTTTGAGTATTATTATTATTTTGTTTACTAGGGGAAGCGCTAAACCAGAATGGGCTATACAGTACCTGTGGAATGGAAGAAAGTCACTTATGAGCCAAGGACGGGAAGGTGGAGTAGATCCTTGGATCAAAACCCCTTCACTAGTATCAGTAAACCTCAAAGGAGGGACCAGCTATTTACGTTTCATTTATTAAAACGTTTTTATTAATGCTGCTCTTTATTACGGGAAGAAGGGCTTTTGGTCCACGTTATTGGAGTTAATCCACTCTCCCGAAGATGTAAATTAATGTTGCTTTACCTAAGGCCCCGAGATGCGGGTCTTGATCCGAGGAAATGGAACCACCCTCTCGATCAAGCTTTATTAGTTAACGATTTTTAGGCACTGCTTGACCCTTACGAGTTTAGAGGTTCTCATTGAAGATGATGTACTGGATATCACTGATATTCTAAATGCTGAAGTCGTCCGCCATGGAGTCAATGTACAGTACATGGTAGTGTACTGTACATGGTACTGTACAGTACATGGTAGTGTCTCGGTGTACAGTACATGGTAATGTACAGTACATGGATAGTGTACAGTACATGGTACAATGTACAGTACATGGGTCTGTCTGGTACATGGATTACCATGGTACTGTCTGTTGGACGTACAGCATCACTGTAGAAGCTGCATCTACATGGTAGTGCATTACATGGTAGTGCATCACATGGTAGAAGCGTCAGGCTCACAGTAAGATAGTGCTGTCACATGAGATGCACATCATGTAGTGTAGAAGGTGCATCACCCGTTGGAGAGCTGCATCACCAGTGAGTAAGCTGTCATCACCAGTGAGTAGCTGCATCACCAGTACATGGTATGTCGGTATCACCATGGAGAAGCGGATTCACCATGGTTTAGAAGCTGGAGTGTACCTGCTGGAGGCACATACAGTGAGAGGTACTGTACCATGTAGTACAGACAGGGAGTTACACATGGTAAAGGGAACATACAGAGGTAGCTACACTGGAAGCAGCAGTAACAGTGAGAAGGCAGCATCACTA